CATTTTAAAAAAACTCGGCAAAAAAAAATGCTTTCTGGGACCATGCGTCCTGGGACCATGGCAGGACGCATTTTTTGACAAAAAAAATGCACGTGGTCCCACGCGGTGGACAAGCAAAAATAGGCTGGTCGTCAACGTGTTAAAAATGTCAATCTAGCAATGAAACAGTCCATTATTAATTTTGGATGGAAATTTTTAAAAGTTAGGAAAATGCACTTGTTGACAAAGCATTGAGATTCCCCTATCAAATCTAAGAGGGAAAGGAGAAAATCAGATTCTGTTAAGATGTATTGCATTTAATGGAAAACAAGCTCCACCCTTTTTTATTTGTAAACATTTTTGGCTGTCATTGGGAGTCATTGGAAGTTGATGCATCAATGTAACCATTGATGGCTTTTCTAGTCAATCCATGCATTGATACTCTGAGAAGTAAAGTGCCTGAATAAATATTAAACTAATGCAAAAGTGATGATGGGACCCCACAAAGCCTGAAACATGATAGCAATAAGGTAGGAAAATGAAATGAAACTTTTACAAGTTGAAATCCAAGTGAAATCCAAACTGAACACAGACTCAATGAGAGCAATTCCAAGCTGAATCCACACTCCCTGAACATGGGTTCATTCCACCTCTACTTTCATCCTTTCACTCTACATGAGACCAAGGTACAGTGCAGAATAGATCCTACATCAGGCCTGATGTAGAACCCTCAACAATCTTCTGAGATGCTTTTCCATTCTCTCCTTTACTCCATTCATCAATGCAATATCAGCAGTTTGAGTTAATGAGTTGATGCTTTCAAACTTTCTCTGAGACTTCCCTCTTGAAATGGGTGCTGAATATCTAGGTGTAACTTTGATTCAGACAATTCTTGTTTTTGGTTAAATGCAAAATTTAGTTTAACACTTTCATGACATTGCCTGAAAGTCTCCGGATTTTCATGCTTTCCTTATTACAATCAGAGATTCCCAGGAATCTCTGACTTTGTCTCTCTAAAGGTGAAGCTTTCTAGAAAATGTCTGATCAGGGAGTTGCTGTGACTTGGGGTATTGCTTCCTCACTTATTCTTGAGATACTCATACAGGAAGTGAGGATATCACAAGAATCCCTCACTCCGTGAATTCTAGATTTTTTCAAATTTTGTTTTCGAATATGAAATTCAGGGTTAACTTTTGTACCTCATATTTGCCAGCTATATGAGATGAGAGGGCATGAATTAGTCTTGCTGAAAAGCAAAGACAGAGTACTCCAGGGATATGGTGTTTGTTTTCACATGAAGATAATAGATAATATATTATGTAATGCTGAAGTTGTAAGAATGTTCATCCTCCTGAAAAAGCATAATGAAAAAGAGACACTTGCATTGCCTTCATTGTCGTATTTCTGTATTTTGAGATGTTGCCTCCCCATTTTCATGTGAAGCATACTGACAGGTATCCAGCATTTTCTAATTGCACTTTCTCTCTTTCATCTGTTTAATTTTCACATTTCCTTGATCAAAATAAAGTTATTCCATGTAACAATAGTGCAACTCATTGCATTATGAAGACAAAGGAGAAACCTTTAAAGCTTTTTTTTTTTCCTTCTAAGAGTCTATGATATGAAATCAGTTGTACTACAGGTTTGCAGGAAAGAGCATCCAAACACTTATAGATGAGGGACTACTCATGCCTCATGCAGCAAGTTGCACTTGCTCAGCCTGTACTGATGACATATCAATGGTGAGACTCTGCACTATATACTTCATACAAGCCTTTTAATGAGCATAGAGAAGAAAAGCTTTGTTGATATTCTCCATTTACTGATATTATTGGTTAATTTCCTGTTTTAGCAAGGACCAGTGAGGCTTTTCACCCCCTATCGCCGAAAAAGGAAAACGCCTTCTGATGAAGAAAGGGATGAGGAGGATGCAAGTGACAGAAGTCAATCTACCTCTACTAAAAGCCAGAAATTGATCAAAGTCATGAACGAATCTGGAATCATTGGTAGATCCTCCTGCATTCCTAAGCATTGCTATTCTCATCTGTAGAGTTCTGAAAGTCTCTAATACTTGCAAATTAATTTCTATCTTCCACTTCCATTTTGAATTTCCCTTCTCTCCTCTGTATAACCAGAAACAGTGGTACTGCCAACATCATCAGCCATGTCAACATCAGCATCAGCTGCTTCATCAAGTACACCAAGTGGATCTTCAAGTATGGATGAAGATATGGGATCTGCTCAGATGAAGAAGCGTGTCTTGGTGGCCCCTCGTGTACGATCTATCGGACAAGTCTCAGGACCTGCTATTTTTGACAGGCTTGATGATGTGAGTTGTCACTTTGCAACTTATGGGATGAAGACATGTCAGAAAACTGGAATTTGAGCAATATCTAGTTGTGGGAAATGATGTCATCTCCTACTCTAAGGAGTGCAATTTGTTGTGCAGATGGTGTCAACTGTTCTCAGGGCTGCTTTGCATCTCAAGAATGTGGTTGAGGAAGGGAAGCAGAAGTTCATACAGGAATATGAATCTCTCAAGCAAGAATTGAAAGAAGAGAAAGAGAAGGTCATGCGCCTGGAAAACCAACTCAGCCTGTACAAGTAATTTTTTCAATTGGTCTTTTTTATCATTTTATTTTGTGCATACTCTGTGTGAGTTTGCTTACTTAATGGCATTGTTTACTTGTAGAACTCTTGCAGAGGAGTCTAGGGATCCTGAAGGGCAGAGTCAACTTGTGTCACTTGACATGGCCTCACAAATTCTTCTGACTGAATCCTCAAATAGTCTTCTGAAGGTAATATCCATTCATGGTTTTTTCATTCATTAAACTCTCCTCCTTATCCATAAGTCATACTATGAGTCATTTGAAGCAAATGAATTAAGATTTCCTCTTATTCTTGATTTCAGTGCACCAATTGCAACCATGAGGCAGTGATGGTATGCTCTGGTTGTAAGAAGGTTGGCTACTGCTCACTTTTTTGCTTGAACAAGGAGAAAGATGGGCATTTCCCATGCAGTCCATCACTGTCGTGATTTGTCCATCATAAATTGATCCTTGTTTTGCAAATTGTTCACTCCTTGTCAAAAATAAATTATCTTATTTTTCCACTGTCCTGTTCTCATTCTGGTCATTAGGAGTGCTTGACATAGCCATGTGTTTCAGTTTATTATGAAGCCTCAAAACTTGATTAAGTGAGACTAGATTAATGAATTACTTGATGAGATACCTTTTCTGCTTGTAGAGGAACTCTATTTCCAGGTAGGAAAGCTCTTTAATTGGTTGAAATAATTTATGGCCAATAACATCTTACCAGGTGACTTCAAGCCAACAGAGACCAGGGCAGCATGTAGGATGGTCAAGAAGGTCGGTGCTTTTTTCATTAATGTTTCTAGCCACGTGGGAACCGGGGCCCACGAGCCAGAGGGACCCAGACGCCTAGCTACGAAGAGGGGAGAAGGCAGGGGAGGGGGGGCGTTAGCTGGGAGCCCCTTGGCATCGGAACGAGGTGAGAGCCAGCAGCCGAAAAGGAAGGTCAAAAGGAATCAAAGAAATTCAACGCGACACTGCATAGCAGTGGCGTAGCCAGGTTTTCGTCGGCTAAGAGGAAAGTTGAGGGCTAATTGGGGGCTAACTTCGCCTCGTCAGGGTGGGGCGGACGCATTCCGACCAAAGTTGGAGGGGCTTGAATCAAACTTGGGGGGCTGAAGCCCCCCCTCGCCTCTCCCACCCCCCTCGCTACGCCACTGCCTTGACTAAACAAAATTAACAAATACGACAACTCGCGTGTATTTGCATGGAATTTTTTTCTCTCAGTTTGCTGCAGTGATGCTCCTGCAGTCTTCTCAAGCGGAGTGAAGTGGCTCTTCGCGCACGGGGTAGGTGTGAGCAGGGGTGTGAGGGGGTGAGGAGGTGAGGAGTGAGCCCCCTTAAAACTCCCCTCACCCGCTCACCTCTGGACTAGCGAAAATTTCTGCTGACCTGAGGTTTTTGCATTGCTAGCCGGGGCCGCGCCCAGGAGGTAGAATGTGCTGTGCCGCCATCCTTGAGAATCACAAGGGGCGTGTTCCAAAGACGATTTACAAGCTATAAGCTGCAAGTTTCAAACATTTGCTGGGGCCTTGCCTTCGTCGTGCGAAGGGTCAGCGGGATCCGCTCAAAGAGTTAAACAAGACACGACTTTCGCAAGTATAAGATTTACGGGCTGTAGCCCGTAAATCTTGTGCGGAACAGGCCCAAGGTGAGGCAGATGCTTCCGAGGATTGAGAGAGATCTGGAATTCCGACATGTCTGCAGCCCTGAGAAATTCCCCAAAAAGAGTTTCCCGGTCCGAGACGACCGGCAGAAGACCCATCGGTTGATCTCGTAGAAGGTAAAAAGATCACAGAGCATTATGCTCGGTGTCGTCACTCGAGACTCGGGATTCCGTCTGCGATAGTCAATAATTTGCTATGAGCGCCATCGAATGCAGAACGAAGAAACGAAAGAAATTACCATGAGCCTAGCCACAAAACGAGACGGTATGTCTCATCAGAAAATTGTTTTTCTCTGAAGAAAAGATTTTCTTCATGCGGATCCGCCACGGTCCGTCTGCCTTTCGATAGCTGCTCTCGAGAACTGCCACCAGATGGCGAACGATGAAGAAAAGCAACCTCTGGTTCAGACTAGAGCCCCTAGAGCAGTGGTTTCCTTCCTAGGGTCGCGACCCAAATCAGGGTCCCCGGAGGTCCTCAGTAGGGTCGCGAAGGGTCAATATAATCAAAATATAAGTACATATATATGGAATAGAAGAAAACTGTGATGTTCCTCCCAGCCAAAGCCCACGGCAACAGGCAGCCCAGGAGAAGAGGGCAGAAAACAATAACTGCTCCTCCATCGCTGGGGACTATAGCCCACACACCACCCATCACCCTGAAAAAGCCAAGACCAAAAACAGCAACACAGTCAACTTACAAAGCCATGAATACCATAAACTGCTGGACGCAAAGTAAAACGTTGACAGTACCAGACAGCAGGTGTTACATGAGTAAAGAACGTAGAAAAGCAACCTCTGGTTCAGACTAGAGCCCTTAGAGCAGCGGTTTCCTTCCTAGGGTCGCGACCCAAATCAGGGTCCCCGGAGGTCCTCAGTAGGGTCGCGAAGGGTCAATATAGTCAAAATATAATTACATATATATGTATGCATATACACAGACATAGCAAAAGAAGCCAGCAAAAACGCAGGCCTCAAGATGAACCTTGCCAAATCTCGTCATGTTCAACAAACATGTCAGACCCAAAGAAATCGAAGTTAATGACAACAAACTTCAATAAGTTGACAACTACATCTACTTAGGACAGCAAATATCTTCAGACAGCAGAATTGGAAAAGAAATCAACAGACGAGTGAAAATGGGATGGAGCGCTTTTGGATGCCTCAACTCGATCTTCAAGGGCGACCTGCCTATCTGCCTCAAAAGAAGTCTTCGGCCAATGTGCACTTCCCGTTCTCACATATGGATGTGAGACATGGACATTGACGGCAAAAATGATAAAGAAACTACAGACGACTCAACGCAGCATGGAGAGGTGCATGCTGGGAGTCACAAGAAGAGACAGGAAAAAGAACGAATGGGTCGGAGCACAGACGAAAGTGAGCGACGTCATCGAAAGAACGAAAAAACTCAAATGGCAGTGGCTAGCCACATTGCAAAAGAACAGACCAGCAATGGACGAAGGAAATCCTCAACTGGATATCAAGGAATAAGAAGAGACCTAAACGACACCCCATACGATATGGATTGACGAAATCAAGATTTTCACTGGACCAATGTGGAAACGAACAGCCGAGGACCGGGAAAAGTGGAAGCTTTTTGGAGAGGCCTTCATCCTGCAGTGGATCGAGAAGGGCTGAAGGGATAATGATGATACACAGCCATATTTAAATTTTTCCGCAAGCCTGAGGGTCGGGAGGTCCTGTTGGTCGCCAATTTAGGGTCGCAGCAAGAAAAGATTGGGAACCACTGTCCTGGAGAGACAAAGCCTGACCAGCTCCCGCACTGCGAGTCATTTTTATTCCTCCGCTTTCGGTCTCCCAGTTCTTGTCGCATAAATCGCTTCAATTCCATGAAAACAGGCCCAGATCTGAATGTTCATATGGGTCACCAAATGATCAAATGATCAGATACACACTTGGAAACACCACCGATCATAATCCATTACTCTCAAATACCATTTTTGCACCTCGGCTGACGTTTGAGACGTTCCTGATGTACAAAAATTCCAATATATAAACGGATAACTATTGCTAATACCAGTATACATTTTGATCAGTCAGCTAATCTCCATATATGCTGCTCAACCAGGTGGGGAGAGAAAATGAAGTGAAGTCGATGTTAGCCACAACATCCACTCATAAATTATTATTAGTCCTCTATTGATGTTAACAATGTTATATTGCCGTCTTCACTCCCTTTTCGTATTTTCCATTAATTTGTCACACCCTTGGTTCTTTCCCTTTTCCCTTCAATGTAAGAAATAAGAGATAGAGTAAAGAAAGAAAGCATTGAATCTGCAACTGCCCGTGTAATTTCATTCATCTGCTTGCAATTCTTGCTCCGCATTTCAAAACCAACGAAGACAATAAAAATGCAAACTCAATTTCTTGACAGATAACTTGATTTAATGGTGATAAATGATTTTTTTTTAGTTTAAAAAATGCTTACTAACCGGAATATCAGATTCTGATGGATTTGGAGAGCGCTTTCCTGAAGAATAACAAGATGTCATTGGAGTTGAATGAGAAAATATTATTGGTACAGCATGACATTCCAGCTTTAAGGCCTATCTCAGGCATGGCCCTTAAAGTTACGCCTGGACCTACTTGAACAGGGTTTGTGATGTCAAGAGCCTCCCATCCATCATATCTATGCATGTTTAGTCTATTTCAATGCCTAAATTCATCCAGATCTCGACCTAATTGGTGTGGAAGGGGTGAATGAAATGAAAATTAAATTTCTTATCAGATATGAGTATGGGTCAGAAAAGGAGAAGATGCGCGAAAATTTTGGAAAGAATTTTGACGAGAAAAAACGTTTGTGAATATTGGCCTCCTATAGTTCTTACATGAAATAACGGTAAGCAGCAGAGACATGCATCATAGGTCGGTGTAATGTAAGCTAATCCTACTCTGAAGTGAGGGGGAGTTTCTTAACATAACGAACTTTATCTGCCTATTATTTTTAGCAGTTATTATTCACTGGGGTGTTAATCTCTCATGATCGAATATCATGGGTTTCTATGAACTATATCTATTACTATAGACCAGACAATTGACCTCATAGAGATATGAATTCGCTGTCGGTGTCCAGTTCAGTCTTTTCACCTTAGCAGCCCAAAGAGCCCTACGGGTCCTATTTGATTGGGAGCGAAATACTCTATATCCAGTCTCATTCCTTTTTTATCATCCAACTGCCACACGGCAGGACATTATCACCAAAAAAAGCCCAAGGAATTGATCCTTCCCATATAACCGATGCCGGGTGCCTGGAATCAAAATGGCACCCAATCAGATTCATTAAAAATAGGGACTGGAGTTTGCCAGGCTCTGTCTTTCTGGGGGCTGCCGTTCAGGCAGGCGCTGGCAGGCGCAGGCGCACGAGCTCATTTCACATTGCGGGCGAGAAAAACCTTTAGGGTGGATTTTTGAACAGAGCACTATCCGATAATGCTGCTTTATTTCAGAGAAAATTTTTTTTTGAACTTAACGTTTTTAATTTCCTTTCGGGGGCCCCCTGGAAGAGTGGGGCCCGGGGCAACTGCCCCCTTTGCCCCCCCCTTAATCCGGCCCTGGTGCGCCTGTGTGTCACACTTTGGCTGTCCAACGATAACTAAGAAAATATTGGCCTGACTAATACGAAAATTGGCAAGCAGCTAGATATTAACAAGATACAAGCTGAGTACGTTGTGTGTCGAATTTGCACTAAATTTGGCATTTTTATGGCAAATTTTGTATTTGTAATATGGACACGGAAGGGAAGGCATGAATACCCGTGAGCCTTTTCAGGATCTGGATCGCAATGCGCATGCGCGTACGACCCAGGCCTTGGGCGTGGTGCCATGTCAGCAACTAGAGCTGTCAGTTCCCTACTAACCTACGTGGCGGGTGTTTCCAAGCACGCACAATCCTCCATCCTCCCATCATCATTTCATGGGCACCATGGGTAGATTTTCAAACGTGAATGAAAAATGATGTTTTCGATGGCTGAGGACAGGAAAGAGATGGCATTTTGTTCAATTAGGTGACAAAATGCTAGTCTCCGCTACAGGACTGGGCTTGCCCATCTTGTTTAGCATGCCAATGCTCTTGCTTTCTTGCGGTTAGTGCCGAATTCCCTTTTTAATGAGGCTGGCCATCGGCGCAACCTCTATATTCTAGTAACCTTGACTACAACGCACTCCCAATCGAAGGATTTGAACTGAAGAAAGAATGGCATCAGACTTTCATCACCACTGGCACACTTGAATCGCAATCAAGTTTTTTTTACCGATTGAGTTCAGCAATTGCACCATCATTCGGTGCACTACTTAGGGATATGGTGCACGAGACGTTAACTTCGCGTGAAAGTCCCAATTCTTCTATTTCCGAATTGCTTAAATGATGTTAAGGACATCTCGGCGCCGTCCAGGGAAAATCGCGACTGGGAGGTGGAAACCCATTCGCTTCCCATCAGCTGATGAAGCCTCGTTGAGAAGTGCAAACACCTACCAAGGGGGACAGGCCACAACGGCGATTTAAACACCATCTAGCTTCTCACGTGAGAGCTTCGTTTCTTTGAGGGAGTGTCAGATGACTTGCTTCCTGCTCAAATATTGTATTTACTGACAGTATATTTCATGGTTTTGGACTTCTCTTGGAACTCTTGACATCTTGCACCGAATGGGTAGAACCCGTGCATGTTTTTATTTTAGTATTCAAAATCTATCAAATGAGATCCAGACGTTCGTGAATGAGATTTTACACATTTCTTCGATTGCAAAAACAAATTTTCACAAAAATAAGGAAAACAACAAGTTGTTAAGTTTTTGACACTTGCGAAGGATACATGCTCAAATGCAAGGAATGCATGTGCCAATATTCACGTGTCAATACTCAATGGTTTGACTGCTAAAATTGCAAATGGACTCACAATGAAGATAAAATTTCTGTGGTATTCGATATTTATTATTTTCTGCAACATTGACCGTCTACGTCAAAAAACAGTCATAGATGTTATCACAGCACTGAAACTATACAACACGTATGCGAACATCGCGACGACGACCATAATTGGACTCGGAAGATCCCACAGTCATTGCCCATGTCCCTTCACTCGTCCTCGCCCATCAAGTGCCAGGAACCACGCCGAAAAAAAAAATAAACAATATTCTGAGGGGGAGGATTAGCAGTCGTCGACAGAGCGCTGGAGAAACTTAACACGAATGTTTTCTCTCTGCTCGTTTTGTACGGATGCATAATCATGACGAATTTCTCAACGAATCACCTTTTTACAGTTTAGCATATGGTAACTTCATGCGGACGCATTGAGCAACTCGGCAGATGGACGAGTCCCTTTAGAAGGGACGGAATCCATTCCTTCGGTATTCTCGTAAGGCGATAGCTCCTACCACCAATATCACGAGGGGTCCGACGCTGAGGGCCACCCACGATCCGATGTTGATGGCAATTTGAGGCATGACGATCCTGTTGTAGAGATCGTCGGCTAACTTCTGGTCCAAGGATGCGCTCTGAAACGAATTCGCAGGATCCCAATATCAATTCGAATCGTTCCGAAAAGATTTGAGTAAATTTTTGGGGTTGGAGAGATTCGACGGGAATTTCAGATAGAAAACTTTCAAGACACCATCATAAAATGTACACGAGATACACGAGATCAGCATTGTGGAAGCATCAGATCCACGAGAACATGAATATTGATTGGATCATACCTCGTACAATCGGATCGTTAGCACTTATGTTTTATTGGGATGTGAAATCTTGAAAATGGAATTGAGTACCTCGTTCACCCAAAATATTGGGAAGAGCATTTCCGTGACATTAGCGAAGCTTGGATAATGCTCGACCGGCCTCAGCTTGAGGTTCACTTGAAGTTTCTTGGCGGCATTCAAGACAATACCGGTCAACTGGAGGAGGAGACAAGATTCAGCATGAGTCCTTCCGAACAAAAAAAATCCTTGACATCGACAGTGTGACAGCGTTCAGCTGTCAGAGCAGCAACTGTCATCAAATATGAATATGGAGAATGCCAAAATCCATCTGTGCAAAATAGGCTTGCTGGGTCACGTCATTTAAGGCCAAAAAAAAAAACAAGACTAAAGCGGCGATATAATGGCCAAAATGTTAAGGCATTGAAAATTATACTCTCAATGGAACTCCAAAGACTTCACAATTGCGACTTAGTTAGCTCGAAAAGTAAAGTTGCTATCTAAATTTACATATATTTCTTATTATTGAACATTTAGCTTAGCAAGAACTTCATTATAGGGTGTCCCGTAAGTCAGGACCCATAGGGAAAAATTAATCAAATTAAAAAATAGTCCAAAAATTTATTACATAATCTGTTCAAAGTGTCCGCCGTTGTGTCGCACACATAGTTGAAGACGCAATCTTCACTGCAACCGCACTTTCTGAATCACAGTCGCAGAAATTTCTTGACACACCTCCACAATGTGTATATTTAAGGTGGAAAATGCTCCCTAGAAATCCCTATGGGTCCTGACTTACGGGACACCCTGTATATGTTAAAACATTTTTTTCAGGGCTTTCAGGATTTGCAGCAACGAGAGATACCATAGCTTATGTGTCAAGTATTCGCGAGACCAGTCATAAGCCACAACTGTACGCATACCATACACAAATCAAAGTTCCTCCTTGGCGAGAATACTAGTATATATCTGAAGCCAATAGCTAGGACTAGTAATAGGAGAGGACTAGACGCACGTAGGGGGTGCCTTTCATCTCTGCTTAATAACATATTCGGCGATGTGTAAGCGACGATCAAAGTGACCGCTGAGGAAACCCACAAACTCGTGCGATTGTGATACTTGTATTTCGTCGTCCTCTTTGAGTTTTTTAAAGTAACAGCGTACGGCAAAAAAAATGAATTACTTTTGACCCATATGTCTCAACTCATACTGGAGCTATTCCCATGAATCATTCACCATGCATACTGTGCATGAGTTCGTTTCCAACTGACTTAAAATTTCATCCAGGTTTGTTGGGCCTAAGCAAAACCATCAGAATTCATTTAAAGAAATTAGACATTGAGAACAGACCAGTGCTCCTGCTGGCAGCGAAGAAGATGAAAGCACTCGAGCGAGGTGGTTTTTGTGAGCTTCTACCCAAGTAATATCAGATGAATCTATGAGTATCGAACCGAAAAGGGTTTCACAAAGAACATTCACAATTTCCTTCCGCTAGATATCGTTGCCCAAAAGGTGATTCAATCATTTCTGCTTCCACAGTAGCACTGCAACATTCTTGGATCACATATCTTGGATACTTTGGCCAGAACTTTCATACTGTAGAGGGAATGATTTCATGGACTTGTATGGCACTCTAAGCTTTTTGCGAGATATATTGCATGCATATTTCAAAGTATGAATTTATCTATGAATTTGACTTCGCAAGTTAATTGCCTATGTTCACTCTGTTTTGTCATATCGAACTGACAGAGACAAATGTGCATTTTCCTAGTCACCACACAGAAAAAAAATAAGTTTGTCAAATGACGCACAAAAGTGGGTCTTGCATCGTCTGGGCGACACGGAATAATGTGTCATGAGTTTTGACGCACTGAAACATGTCCTTTGGCACATCTTACGACATCAGTAGGCACATTTAAATGTGCCTACTTAATTGGGTATAAGCTCACGAAAACCACCTCGCTCAAGTGCTTTCATCTTCTCCGCTGCCACAGGAGCACTGGTCTGTTCTCAATGTCTAATTTCTTTAAATGAATTCTGATGGTTTTGCTTAGGCTCAACAAACCTGGATGAAATTTTAAGTCAGTTGGAAACGAACTCATGCACAGTATGCATGGTGAATGATTCATGAGAACAGCTCCAGTATGAGCCGAGACATATTGGTCAAAAGTCATTCAACTTTTTTTGCCTTACTCTGTACGTTGAAAAACTCAGAGGACGACGAAATACAAGTATCACAATCGCACGAGTTTGTGGGTTTCCTCAGCGGTCACTTTGATCGTCGCTTACACATCGCCGAATATGTTATTAAGCAGAGATGAAAGGCATCCCCGACGTGCGTCTAGTCCTCTCCTATTACTAGTCCTAGCTATTGGCTTCAGATATATATTCTCGCCAAGGAGGAAATGGTATGCGTACAGTTGTGGCTTATGACTTAGGCTGTCACGATAGATCGATGCATCGATACCATTATCGATAGTTGGAGATATCGATAGTTCTTTCGACCATCGCGATGCATCGGCAAAATATTTTAAAGGGGAAATGTCCCATTAGATTGAGGCGAGTACAGTACAATACAGTCCATCCAGGCGGGGAAAGGTAGAAGCTGCGTGACCCGCATGGGCGAGCAATTTCTTATTACAATCAAATTCTGGAAATGAAATATATACTATAATGAAAGATGGGATGGGAAAATAAGAAAGGTTCGGAGACAGGAAGTGGGAAAGGAGAGGGGGAAGACCGAGAATATATTTTTCTCTTCTGTTTCTGTCTTCCGCTCGATCTCAGGTGCATGCTGCGGAAGTAGACTGTTCTTATACTCCTTTCGAAACGTACATTGGTTAATCCCCTCTCTATATTCCTGTCTATCATTTTAGTATGCAGTTGAGTTCTCACAGGCTCGAGATCGACGAAGGTCTCGTGCCATTCTTTCCTCGGCTCCAACCCTTCCACGATGGATTTGTTGAAGTATTCCTCTGATCCTAAGTAGAAGTGTGGCGTGGACATCACCACCGGTACACCTGTGGGGCAGATAATTTTTAGGAAAGTTTTCCCACGCACAAGATGTGACTTCGACTTCAGAATTCAGCATCATAAAGAATAGTTCTTTAATGGGATTCATGCATCATGGGTTCTTTTCAACTTACCGAGACATTCGGAGAGATCTAAAGCTCCTGCTTTCAAGCATGTTCCATCCGATAAACAAAAGCACTGATTGTCCAGATTAATTGCTGGGTCTTCGAGAACATCAGAATTGACAATGAATCGAAGTCCTGGTATTCTTCGAAATTCCACTTCCCGCTCGTACGTGAAGAACACCGCCCTGGGCATTGAAAAAAAATCACTGAATTCAGAGCAAATGTATTAGCTTGAGAACGTACCCTGAAAGTGATCGATTGATTCACCTGCACAAGTCTGGGGTGAATACATATAGGACGGAGTTTTCGTCGAGGAAGGGGGGAAAGATCGTGCCGTCGGTGCCATTGATCATGTTGCACTCATCCGTCCGCCATGGTCTTTTATAGTGGAATGGCTCCCCTCGCCAGAGCTTGATATCGGCGAAATCTTCCGGCCCATTATCGCCGGTGCCGACCAAGTAAAGACCGTCGCTGCTACCGTTCAGCTGCACAATGGAAACTCCACGTCATTCAAATTCCATTAGGTGTGAATTTTATTTGCTTTTTTAGTAGAGTGACATGCTTTGTGAAATGCTGACTAATTTATTGTGAGTCTGCATGCTTAGTTGCATGTTATTAATTATCGATGAAAGCAAGCACAGGTGCCGTGAGCTTGTAGTAGGACGTTATTGAAGCTGTTTTGTCCGCGGTTCTTAGCATTAAGCATGCAAGTCGTACTTGGAGTGGGTTGATGTCATTCTCCGGGTCTTTTGGGTTGGAAAATGAAATGTTAAAGCATGTTTCAGGAAGATTTTACCTGGTGAAGACCAGAAGGAAAAAGGTGACAAGTGCATTAATTAAGAAAATTTCTATTACTTGAGTAGGCACCATAGCATGACACTGCCCTTACGAAAAGGTTCCATAGGAATCCTACAGGATACAGATGGGAACTTTTAGGATCTTATTGGTATCCCATAGTATTATATTGGATCCCATAGAAAACCTAAAGAACCCTAAATGCTTGCTACTTCCTTCCTAAAGGATTTCTAAGGAATCTTAGGTTTTTCACGTTTAAAAAACCTATAGGAATCCCATTGGACTGTTTCGTTAGTGTGGTTGGTTCACCTCCTGTGTGGAGGTGAACTTACCACAGACTCCCCATTTCTAAGCCTTGATCGCTTCTTTACCCTTGCCCCTCTCCTGCATTCGTCCCCATCGCAATAAATTTCTCGTAGCACGGAAGAAGTCGAAACGGTCCCATCTTCCATCTTCGGAATAAATCCCCTTCTAATTTGAGTCACAACTCCCC